ACAGGGAGGGTGGGGGCTGGAGCTATTGGAGCTGAGCCGTTAAAGGCAGAGAGTGAAATTCAGTGAATACACGTAGTTTACAGAGATGCTGTATGAGAAACCAAAGTGATTTTGGAAAATTGCACAATATAAATCTATTCTAGTAGACCTCAACAATGGAATTATGATCAGTGGAAATGGCCATGACATGGGAGCTTTAAGGTAATAGGCAGGTCTAGTAAATTTATAATCTAGTTTAGTAAAACATTCTTCTTTAATAACTTTCTCTCTCTGTATTCTTTGCCTCCTCCATCAAATTCTGTTTTGCTGGATATAAAGTTACTCCATATGTCCTTTTACTTCACTATGGGTTAGTGTGAGCAATTTTGTTGAGAAGTAAACCATTTGTTGAGTTCCCTTTTAGCAAAATGCTCTCTGGTAGTCAGTGCTGCAGTGTGTTTGTTTTAGGGCTTTTATTGTGAAAGTCCGATTGCAGGGGAGCATACAGAAATGCATTTCAGGTCCGGACACACCAAACTGACACCAAAAAACACGTCCCGACAGACCCCACTGTTGTGTCGCCTCACGTCTCCTGCTTCTTGGCCAAAAAGTCGCACTGGAACACACCGCAAAGACTTCAGCCGACGGCCAAGTAAAACGTGAGTGGCAATAACTGTCCTTACCAGCAAGCGACGGTAGTGTGTATTCGTCATTCAAAAGAGGCAACCAGAAGACAGACTGCGTGATATAACAAATACCGTGGCTGAAGTGAAGTCGAAGGCCGTTTCTCAATGTTGAGTATACCTGCGAACAGCGCCCATAAACTATGGCGCCCTAGAGGATGTTAGTTCCACCCCCCACTTAAATCATGTTCAAATGGATAGGATACTAAATACATTTGCACACATCTTTTGTCCATATCTTTCTATTTTGGTGGTCATGCCACAACCGTGCACGTGCACGCATGCAAAAGTCATAGTGAGTGTCTGCATTTTTGGAGGGGGCGCCAGCTAAAATCTTGCCTAGGGCAGAAAATTGGTCAAAATTGTTGCCCTGACCTACGGCAACAAATAAAATAGTTACCGTGATGGTGAGGTTTGAAGTACTCTCCTTCCTTCTTGTGTAGGGCTCTAAAAACTGCAGTCTGGTCAGGATCCACTGCTGTCTGCCAGTCTTTAGTGCTCCAGAACTACCCGGAGGGGAAAGTCTCCTGTACCGGGTGTAGGCCTACTAGGTTCGCAGAGAATCCCACTTCTTCTTGAGCTCTTTCTCTGAAGCACACAAATAAACTATTTAAGCATTGTGGCTAGTTAGCATGTTAGTATGTTTCTCTGTAATGTCGTACAGAGCTGGCCTCTCCTGAATCAAGCTGATGAGTTGGTCTTCGGTTTCTTCATTCCAGATCGCCATGATGTAAAATAAATTCTTGCATACAGGTGAGATGAAAATGAAAAAGAATAGCCGTCTGTGTGTGCCTAATCGTTTGTTTGCGTACCTCACTTCTGTTTCGCTTCTCATGCACTGATTCGCTAAACTGAACAGCCAATCGGAGTGATTTATTTTGCCGACAGCCTCCGCTCCCGATTCAACATGTTCAATCGGGAGCGGAATGTGTCGGCACGACACACCAATCTGAGTAGGCCAACAGGACGCTCATCGACGGCCAGACATCTATCGACGGCCGAAATTGGCTTGGTGTGTCCGGGCCTTTAAGTGCAAGGCCTACAGGGAAACAATCTAGTCAGACAGAGTCATTATTCACCAGCAGGCGTTTAAATTGTATAATCAACATGTGCTCCATAATGATAAGTTGAAGCAAAATGTCATCTTTTGCCACTTTAAATATAAGATAGAGAGACTATGGTAATTTATGTCACATTTTTGGTGTCAGACTGGAACTCTACCTTGTGCGGCTCCCCGTCCCCATACGAGCGAGGAGAGGCCGGTCAGATTCTGCCCATTGCTCTGCAGCACCTCACCCCAAACTACATCTCCATCATCGGCATCGGAGCTATAGCAGCTGCCGTGATGTCATCAACGGACTCCGCTCTGTTATCAGCCGCCTCCATCTTCTCATCCAACATCTATAAGAACATCCTGAGGACCAAGGTAAGAGGAGACCTGAGGGGAAGAATAGAGTTGTGGTTGTTATCTCCACTGGAGGCCAGATGATGAGTTTGGTTGTCGGTGTGCATGCATCTGTTTTGCATACTATTTGACCCATCAACCTCATATTTGTTGCTTTCATTTGTGATTGTATGCTCTAAGACCTCTTGTGGTTGCAGTGATTCACAGTTATTGAAAAACCTATTTTAAGGACTGATTTATACAGTCATTGACTACTGATTCCTCACTCTTCCTAAGTATCCATGGCTGCAGAGATCAATAACTAATGTATCAAAAGGCATTTCCAGCATTGGCTATAAACAAGCCTTAACTTATCTGTCGGTAAAATATTATTTATGATTGTCATGGCTCAAAAACAGACATTCATAGAAAATCCTGGTCTCAACTTAAACTGGAGCATTTGCTAATTATTTCCATACCCGATATCTTATGATCAACTAAATAAAAAGGCAGGATAAGAGGTGAATCAATCCCTGTTGGCTGTCATCTTCACTGCCATCCTAACTGGCAGCAGGGTGGGACATTTGGTCATAACTTGTCTTTGTGTTTGAGGAGAGACACACCAGACCTGGTGATCCTCCTGAATGCACTTTTGTAGTTCATTTCAGTTTTAGCTTTTTCCCCCTGCAGGCATCGGGTAGGGAGCTCCAGTGGGTGATCCGGGCCACTGTGGTGTTGGTGGGCTTGGCTGGCACTGCGCTCACCTTCCTAAACAACAGCATCATGGTTTTCTGGATCCTGGGCTCTAGCATAACCTACATTTTCATGTTTCCTCAACTCACCTGCGTCCTCTTCTTCAATATCTCCAACGGATACGGCTCCATTATTGGTTTGCTAGTTGGACTTTTTTTAAGAGTGCTGAGTGGCGAGCCGTCATTTGGGTTACCCATTGTTCTCCACTTTCCAGGTTCCACTCTTGAAAACGGCATATATGTCCAGCGCTCTCCTGTACAGACGATCTGCATGTTGTCCAATATGTTTGCCACTTTGTTGTTCTCCTATCTATTTTCACTGCTCTTCGATAAAGGACTGATTCCTGAAAGGTGGGACGTATTTAAAGTGAAAACCCACAAACCACAGAAGAAACTAATGCTATCGATGAATCATACCACTAAGACAGACAAGGAGGAGAAATCTCAGGATGACACTGAATTAATGTTGACCACAAATCTGCATGATTGAAAAATAAACAATTTCATGCAATTCTATAATGTTTTATGATGGTATAGCTATTTTTTTTTCCTCTTTTACATCAAAGACTTAATCTTTGTAAAATGATCATCTTTGCCACAGAATGGAGTAATAATGAATCTCTTGTAAATCTCTTGAGTTTGTTGAAGTAGCCTACAAGTATTTGCGCCGCGGTATACCATTCTTTTTTATGCCATAGCCTATATTCGGCTCTTTGACCAAAGATTTAAAAAGATGCTTATAATTAAATCAGTTTAAAGTAAGTAAATTGTGTGTTTTGTTACTTCCAGCAACCTATCATCAATAGGAGTCCCTTGTCAAACATGCAATGTGGTTAATCAAAAAATCAAGATGAATTGGGTGTAAGACCTACTGTAGGCCTATGTCTGATTGATACATCCGTACATGGAAATTGAAAAGTTGTTCAACTTAACATAAGGTTTTCAAGTAAGGTGTGTTCAACATATACATCTAACTTTAACTTTTGAAATCACACATGTCAAGTAACTAAGTACATTTACTCAAGAACTGTACTTGTAGTACAATTTTGAGGGACTTGTACTTTACTGGAGTATTTAATTGTGTTGCTACTTGGTAGCCTACTTCTACCCCACTACAATAAAAATGGTGTACTTTTGCTCCACTTCACGTATTTAATACCTTTAGTTCCTTTGCAGATTTTGATTAATGATGTGAAATATAATCAACACTTAGGCTAAATAAAACTTTAGTTACACCTGGAGTAACATTCAGAAACCCTGCAGCATACAAAATAATTAAAACTAACTGTAGCCTACCTTTACCAGCTTTGATAAATACATATGATATGATACGAACATGACACGAAACATATGATATAAATTATTCTGAAATGGGCCAATCTACATAATGAGTAGGCTACTTTTACTTTTGGTAGGCTGTAATTTGATGCCAACAATGTTCTACTTGTAATTGAGTAAAATGTTTATTGCAGGACTTACAGAGCATTACTACATTCTGGTCCTACTCTGATTAAATACAAGATCTGAGTACTTTTCCTACCTAATTTAATAAATGTAGCTAAAATACTGTATATATTTGAAGTGTGTAAACGGTAATTCCTGGTTCGGCCTTGCTGTGGCAGTAACGCTTAAAGAAGTTGAAGTTTTGACCACTTCTTAAGAAAACAAGGAAGCGACTCTACAGCAGCAGAATGGTTGTCAACTGTAAGAAGTAGCTGTGCGTTTATTGTCCTCTCAGTGGCTTGTAAGGTGAGCAAATATTCCACCAATATAAAATGAACCAACCAGTTAAATGTGCAGACATCCCGCATTGAACTGAATGAGCGTTAGCTAGTGTGTGAGCAGGTTTAGTTGGCATGGTAACTTTGCTAGCTCGTTAGCTGTAGCTACAAACCGTTAACGGTGTGCTGGAACATTAGAACGTTCGTTACAAATGTCCCCTTTAGCTAATGTTTCTTAGCAACGGAACAAAGTAGCAAAGTAACTAGCTTAGTAAGTGTCAGTAATTAAAATATAATGCAGCATTTGACTGTCCCTAACGCGGGCTGCTTATATCATGTAGTATAGCCTACTGTAAGTCTGTTAACAGAGGTATTAAACAATTAGTACAATACGTATATCTACGAAACTATTGTATTATTCAGTTTGAAACATAGGCTACCTGAGAGGCAGGTTGACAGCCGCTTAGCACCGTGGAAATGACGATAGTAAAACAATGGGTTGCAACGATAGGCATGGGACGACATGGAAACTACCATAAATATCCATGCTAAAATAGTTTCAATTTTCGAATTAAAGCTCTGTCAATGGTGTCCAATATACTGTGAAATGCAGTCCCTTCGATCGCCTTTTACTGAAATCACTATACCTTACTTACATGTTGTTAACATGCATTCCATATTTTTTAATGGAGTATTTAGTGAAAATCAGGCTGGATAAATGGCCTTCCTGCATTAATCAAGCATAATCATAACGCTCCTCCAAATAAACACTAACAGCAACATTTTGAGTCTGGTCTTTTTTAAATAAGTCCTGTATTTATTTCCTCTTCTCTACCATGATAGCAAGCTAGACAGCTTCTTTTCAAGCTACTTATTTGTTTTCACTGTCATCGCTATAATTTAAATGCACCACAATCTACTTCTAGACATGAAATCATGAAAACAATCCTATATTTCTTATCCCTAACAACGACCCCACCCCTCTCCATTAAGAGTGGGTAAACTGCTGAAAACGGTGAACAACGTTTTCCGATGCAACATTTTACATGGGAGTACCTCACAGTGTAGAACTGATTCTGTAGATGCATTTCGTTATTGTTCTGGATCAGATTAACTTTTTTCAAGTTACTCATTGTGATTAGTAAATCTACTTTGTTGTGTAAAAACAGTTGACTGCCAATTTACTTATTAATCACAACTATGTCCATTTCAGAAATGGAGGCTGGAGGGGGGGATGAGAGTATGGATGTGCAGGAAGCAGCAGCGGCAGCATCATCAGAACCAACCTTATCTCGACACAAACGGACTCCTGCAAAGCCGACCTGGACTTTGCTTGAGGAGGCCGCCCAAATGAAAACAGAAGGGAATGCTTTCTACAGGGAGAAGAACATTCGCTCAGCCATCGGGCGTTATCACCGAGCCCTGCTGGTCCTCAGAGGCCTCGACTCTGATGTGATGGCAGCAGTGAAAGGGTTTGGACCTGAGATCCCTCCTCTCGAACCCGAACAGGAAGCTTCACTGAGAAATACACAAGTGGACTGCTACAACAATTTAGCTGGTAGATCATCTTTTATATGAGAGTTGAGCTAAATCCAGGGCTGGGAAAATGTAGTTAAATATATCTGTTCCATTCAGGTAGTAGTTCTTTAAAAAACTAATCTTGATATTACTCAGTCATGTAGACTCTAGATCTTCATGGTTAAGTAATAGTCATTTTAATTTTAAATGCCCTCTTCAATTGAGTTATGCTCCAAATAATCAACTTCTTTTAGGAGAGAGCTTTTTCATTGATTGCCTGTTGAAGGGAAATTGGCAGCTGGGTGTGTACAATATTATATATGTATAAATATATCTCTTTCAGCCTGTTTGCTGCAGAAACAGAGTGTTGACTATTCTCGTGTGAGAGACTACAGCCTGCGGGTGCTGCAGTGGCGACCAGGTGATGTCAAAGCGCTGTACAGGGCAGGAGTAGCCACTCTGGAGATGGGGGATGCACACACCGCCAAACAGTACCTCACCCAGGCCTGCAGTGAGCAACCTAATGGTAAGAAAAGAGACTTTACAACAAGGTAATCTACATTATCTTAAGATGACCAAATCGTTCCACCTGCACATACAAAAATCTCTTATTAACATCACTTTTAGAACTTTTAATACATCCTGTAATAGGTTTCAAGATAAAATAGTGACGCCTTCATAAATCAGAACTGGCAAAAAACAAATTGCACTCTATTTCTATTTCATGGAGAGATTTTTTTCCTTTAATGAAAGCAAGAATGTGGCAGCTCTTTTAGGAAGCTCGCTAGTTATAGCCAAAGTTTTGCCATAAGAGGCTAACATTTGGCATGGAGGTCAAGTGTTTGTGAGGTTGTGAATGCATGATATTTCCTCTGTAGGACATTTGGCTTTGTTGCAACATTTGTGGATATATTTCATAAAAATATATTAAAAAGTCAAGCCTGTGTGATAAAAGAAAAGTATGCCTTTTCAAAAATAAAACTTTTTCTGTCTCAGATGCCAATGTGAGGAAACAGCTGCAGAGGGTTGAGGAGAAACTGAATCGAGAGTTGCAAAAAGAGAAAGCGATGTACCGAGGCATGTTTTCCCCCAGCCTGAAGAGCGGCTCTGGAGAAGGGATAAACCAAACTAACGGAGCCGGTGGAGGAGTTTGAGTCGGCCAGCTAAAACCTCTCAATGAAGCTCAAACTGACAAAGACTGTGTTCAACCTGGACTGATCACAAATCAATGAGGAATGTTATATCATGTTGAATGATGTGACTGTGTCTCCTTTAGGTGTTAATGAGCTGAGCATAGTGAAGTAAGGATTATACTGAGTACTAGAACATGTTCAGTGAGGAAACTAAAGATGTCTCTGCTGAAAATAGAAAGGAGAGTTAGGAAAAGTTAGTTTCCTAGCAACTCGGAGGCAAAGCTGAATTTAAATTTGGATTTTTTTTTCACATATGCCTCTGAAAACTAAAGTGAGAATCAACATGCATTACTAACAGTTCAGATTATGCCTTCAAAATTGCAGTTGTCTGGTCAGTGCTGTGAATAATGATTTTGTCAGATTTCAAGTAAAATATTTTTTTATAAACATCATCCAAGCTCTGATGTCTCAAACTCATTTGATTGTTTATATAATGTAGGTATTACAGGCAAAATACAAGCTTTGTCATATGTTTCTTTTATTAAACGTAAGCCATGAGAAGTCACATTCTGTCTCAAATAACTTCATCAATATTTTTATTCATTCAATATTTATTTGAAAATCCTGAGCACAATATCGAGTTAAAGTGTATTTGCTTGGTTTTGGTCATTATCTGGCCAATATGATTGTACTTCAGAGGCACTGTTGCCTATAAACAAAGAGGAATATCACATTCTCACAATAGCTATTATCACTGAACAAGTCACGGAGCAGCATGCAGAAGGGGAGTGTACATTTACACATTCATACTCATGGTCACAGGAGAACTTTGCGTATAGCCAACATTATTACTTTATACTCAATATCTTTATACGAGGCTTCTCCAGCCTAGAATAGGTGGCTGTGAGGTGGTAAATTATGAATTGTAAAAAAACTCCACTGAAACCAACACAACGTTTTTAAAAGTTGAAAGCTATTTGCAGCTCCTAAAAAGAAAAAATTCTCCCTTGTCGAAAATGTTTTGCCCTCTGTGGGCACTTTTGCAGTGTAAGACAGTGAAATTGATCGGCTGCAAAGCATTTTGATAACGCTCTAGAACCCATTTGGAAAAAATGTAACAGACATCTGGTAGTTTTCAGTTTTGTTTTGGCAGGCTATAAAATGTGTCTTTAGAAATGACGTGAGTTAGACGGAAAAGTAGGCTTTTTTCACAGACTATGAGCCTGAGAGGAACTTCCATCATATTGGTATTGGAAGAAAGGGCTGTCAGATGTATAATGGTCACTCAGTGTTATTGAACACTTGTTTGAAGCTTTACAATGATGCCACTTCCTTTTACATGAATTAAAATACTAACCACAGATGCGTTCACTGTGATGGTTATTTATTGTACGAGTGTCACTTCTTGGATGGCTTTCGTTTGAGACTCAGCGACCTCATGGAGCCAAACACTCTCCTCCCCAAGTCCTTTAGAGACCGAGAGCGCTGCATGGGCCTCCTGGGAGGCGGGGAAGGGGAGAAGGAAGGGGAGGAGAAAGGGGAGAGGGAGTGGCAGCTGCCTTCGAGGCTCTGAGAACGAGAGAGGTTAAAGAGGCTGGCGGTGGAAGACAGTCGTTTGTCTTCCTCCTTCGCCCTCAGCAGTCTGATGCCTTCGTGTTTGCTGAGGCCCCCTTGCCCCACGTCTAACGAGGAGACCCAGTGTGCCCGCTTTGTTGGCTCCTCGCCGTGGTTACGAGACACCAGCAAACCTTGGGACTCGCTCCTGAACAAAGCCCTCCTGGAAAGCCTGATGCTGGTGCTGCGTCTCTCCCCTTCCTCCTTCCCCCTCTTCTTCGAGAACATCGGCGAGTTCTCCACTTTCGGCTTCTTGTCGTTACTGCTGGATGGAGCCTTCACCCTCCGTCCCTCCCTCCGCCAGCTTCCAACGCTGTTGCTCCTCCAGCCATAGCCATACTCGGCTCTGTCCATCTCTTCCTTTTCGCATTCGGACTCTTTGCCCCGGAGGCGCCCCTCGAAGCCCCTCCACAGTTTGTTGGAGGTCTTCCTGGGTGTCTGGGCCGCGGGCTGCTCCTGCTCCTCAGCCCAAGCCGAGCTATAGTCCTCTCTCTTGGCGTTGCTGCTTACTGTGGCTGCCCGGATCAACTTGTGAGAGGAGTGCTTCCCACTGTAAAGCCCCTCCCCCTCCGCCCTCTTCCACCCAACAGTTCCTCCCGCACTCTGCCGAAGTGATCCCCCTCTCGGGTGGATCCCTCCTTGCTCCAAAGGAGAGCTCCTCATAATCGTGCGAGGCAGGGAGCACTGGAAGGGCGCATCCCGTCGGAAAACTGAGAGCGGGGTGGCGCCCAGAGGGGACGGCTGGAGAGGCCGGGGAGGGGAGCGGCCCCTGGTGGTGGGGCGGGAGGCAGGGGAGGAGGCTGTGGATGAGGGGAGGTCGGATGGAGAAGGGATCTGCTGGTAGTGGCAGTGAGAGGAGTAGTGAGGAGATGGAACGTGGATGGACTGATAAGGGTGTATGGGGCTGCTGCTGTGTGAGAGAGGAGGGGTGAGGCTGCAATGAGACTGGGGAGAATGGGTGACACTGAGAGACAGCTGAATTGGTCTCTGTGGATTCTGGTCGCTCAGTCTGGCGTAGTCATGTGACTGATCTGTCTTGGCCGTGGGTGTCAGGTGAGTTTTGCTGTGACTCCGCACCTCGCCCGCGGTGTCTGTCTGGAAGCAGTCGATGTCCAGCTCCACACCTTGTTCCATCAGTCCCACCACAACAGCCCTGGTGAGGCCGGAGAGGCGGGAGATCTCACCCACCATGGGGGAGTCCTCGCTTATCTTGGGACTGGAGCTGGCCTCTTGGATCAAGCTGCTGCGCTGAGACCCGGGAGCCGATCCAGAACCCAATACTGAGGGTGGAGTCTCAGGCGGAGCGCAGCTGCTCCAGTCTAATGAACGGCAGAAGGCAGATGACCCAAATCCAGGACTGTGTCCAGACCCTGAAGTAACCTCCAGGGAGCTGCGGTGGCTCAGGCTGCTCGGGCATGTTGAAATGCGAGGGCGGGCTCTAAGTGCAGGGGTGGGTGTGGCGGAGGAGAGCGATGTGGCAGAGGCTGTGGGAGCAGATGCAGAGTTGCTTCTTAAAGCTCCACAGCTGCCATTTTTGGGATTGTCCACACTGCTAGAACTTAAACCGGGAGTCAGGTTCAAGTTGAGGTTGAGATGCAGATTTATGTTCAAGTCCTCTCCAGTGGCTGAGGGGAGGTTACCTAGGTTTATTGAATTCCTAGTTGCTTTTTTCCCGGTGGTGCTGAGGCTGAATCTGGCAGAGTTTCCCAGCAGAGACTTACAGGGAGTGATGTTGGAGGAGGGGGTGCTGCGACTCTCAAAGGCAAAGAGGGACTGGGTGGATCCGTGACTTTTGCCAGGGGTAAAAAGGCCTCTGACCTCACCAGGGATGGCAGCTGAAGTGAGATCGGAGGTGGAGCAGGTGACCCGACTGTGGTACTGGCGAGCCAGACGAGAGATGTACTGCTCCAGCTGGGTGAGAGAGGCAGCGGGCTGGAGGGGCAGAGGGGGGACAGAGCTGGACTCCTGAGGGTCATCTAGCTGGAGACCCTCAGGGCTGGGAGAGGCTGATGGCTCCTGGCTCTGGGAGGTGAAAATGGGGCTCTGGAGGGCGACGGCGTGCAGCGGGCTGGGGTAGGGGTACACCTCTTTGGTCCGACGGGACACTAGGTCTGTGCAGTAGCGAGGGTCCAGCTGGGTGTTTGGCTGGAGTGGGGAGAAGGAGGAGGAGGAGGAGGTGGATTCAAGAAGTTGAATGAGGGAAGAAACCAGGGAGTCACCGAGTCCTGAGCAGAGGTCAGAGAGAAAGCTCAGACCAGTCTCTTCAATTTCACCTTGCACTGTAAATGAGAAGAAGAGAAGAACTTCAGATAATTGTGTTTTACATCAATCCCAATCAGTTACAGGTTCATTATGGGCTGTCACAGTATAGGATTTTTGGGGCTTGAAATAATTTACTATATTGATATCATGATATCTTTAGAACATTTGTCCCAAAAAATTTATGCTATCAACTTCATCTTCTACTTTGATTACTATGCCTTTCGTCTCTTTAATGACAAATCAATTGCACTAAGAATACAAGTGTAGGGAGGTGGAGAAAGAGTCTGTAAACAGAACTGTACAAAATGTACAATTAATAATAATAATAATAAATGGGATTTATATAGCGCTTTTCTAGACCCAAAGATGCTTTACATTACGAGTAAGGTCGACAAACAAAACAAGAACAAAAACAAAAACAAAAACAAAAACAAAACAAAAACAGAAAAGCAGTCAGGAGGATGTTGGTTCAGAGGGGGGAGGGGCGGGTTTAAGGATAAGCAGAGTTGATGAGGTGGGTTTTGAGACGGGACTGGAACAGGGTGAGGGAATCAGACTCACGGAGGTCTTGGGGGAGGGAGTTCCAGAGCTTCGAGGCTGCCACAGAGAAGGCTCTGTCCCCGAAGCTCCGGAGTTTGGCCTTGGGGATTGAAAGCAAACCGGCTGAGGTGGATCTGAGGGACCGGGGTGGTTGGTAGAGGATGAGGAGGTCAGTGAGGTAGGGGGGGGCCAGATGGTGGAGGGCTTTATAGGTGAGGACCAGGAGTTTGTAGTGAATGTGGTGTGAGACGGGGAGCCAGTGGAGTTCTTTGAGGACCGGGGTGATGTGATGCCATGATTTGGTGTGGGTGAGGAGTCTGGCGGCTGCGTTCTGGACAAGCTGGAGTCTGTTGAGGGATGTTGTGCTGATGCCGAAGAGGAGTGAGTTGCAATAGTCAACTCTTGAGCGGGAGGAGATGAAGGCGTGAATGAGTCGCTCAGCTGCGGGGCGGGTGAGAGAGGGACGGAGTTTGGCGATATTGCGGAGGTGGAAAAATGAGGTTTTTACAACTTGGC